TACTGCAAAAAATATCCCAGAAATATAACAGAAAGACGCTTCGGCCTTCGTATCATTAACTGTCATCAAGTGTTGCCAGATGAGTAAAAAATAACCGAGAACTCTTTTCAACATGGACAAAAAAAATGACACGTTTTATCTTAGGGTTTTCTTTTTCTACTTTTTTTTTATTCTATAGATGTGAATCCACCACATACTGTTTTATAGAGGTTGGAGTTTTGCCTTCTTATTATTGGCGGGATTTTTTTCCTTTTTCCTTTTTTCACTCTCTTTTTTTTTCTTTTTTTTTTTAAGAACAATTTTTTCTACCTTTCATAGGTCTCATATAGTTTGATTTATTTCCTCCCCGCATCTCTGGCTTTTCTGGAGGTTAGAGTTTTCTTGTTGTCTTGTAAGCATTCGTGTTTCTCTTTGATTTGGCTAAAACCTTCTACTCGTAACACTTATGTTGGTCTTTGAGCTTTTCCATGTAACAAATTTGAGCGCTTTTTTTTTTTTTACATAAACTTTGATGTCATTTTATCCCTTGGAAGATGTCTGTCGCGTATGCCTCGCTGCATATCGCTGCCATTAGTAAATCGAAGTTTCAGTCTACTTCTAAAATACTTCTTGTATATCTCATAGATAATATAAAACATGAACGCCCCTTTGTGGCGTAATGGTTAAAGAGCTTGTCCAGAAAACTTATTTATCTATAGAGTTCAGTTTTCTTTGAGTGGCCCATATTCGTAGGTCTGTACCGGGCGAAGCTAATATTTTGTGCGCTTTGCTGTGGAGTACCAATTAACGAGCCTAATGGTGTATATATATATATATATATATATAGTTGACTAGCTCTGCTCTACTTTTGTATTGAGCACTTTTTTAGTTAGTTCATTACTCGTATCGTTTTTTTTTTCTTTGGGCTTTGGACCTGTATGCTGTACGATTATTTTCGACAGACGTTCATGTTCTTAGCTCTTTCTTCTTTTAAAACCTTTTTTCCTTCGAAATTGATTTGATCATTAGCAAATCAAGAAACCGAAGGTTTTCCGAGACGAGTGTAATTACCTATATATATATATATATATATATATATATATATATATATATATATATATAGAGAGAGAGAGAGAGAGAGAAAATATATGAAAATGGACACTAAGATAATCACCAAGCCGTGACAGTCTGTTTCATGCTTGAACGCAATCTTCAGGCCATGTGAAAAGAATGCTTTCAAGTACAAAACAAATTGGTGTTGACATACGTTCTGTTTCTGATATTGAACACTTTTATCTTAAATATAGCATCCATTAAAACTATATTTTCACCATATATATATATATATATATATATATATATAAAGGTACCTACAAAAAAAGCGACACCTATGGTTTAAAATGAATCTTTAAAAATGAAATATCTTTCGTGAAGCTTTTGTCTTAGTTTTAATTTCGAGCTAAAAGATTAAAATGAATAAGCAAAATACTTTGCTGTATTTCAAAACAAATTTAAATTGATTGGAATTAATTTATTTCATCACTAAAAATGGCTGATTTCTTAGTACCAGGTATTTCTCTTTATTAAAAATTCTTTAAAAAATAAAATGTATTTTTCTGAAACATTATTTGAGAAAAATTAGCTGAATTAAAGTTTAATAAATCTCATTTTAAATAAATATTACTTACTTTTAGTTTAAAATATTCCAAAACTGTATTTTTAACACAGAAGTGTGTGTTTTTGAGATGTTGACAACTATCGCGATAGACGTATGTTTTAAATTTTTTTCCACGGAGACATATCTGTAAAAATTACTAGATGAATATAACGTGAGCCCCCCTTTTTTTTAACTACCCAGTAATCTTGATTTAAACATTTATTATAGTTACTACTCTTAATTTCCTAATAATATTACGTATGGAAGACCGTACTTACAAAAATTGGCACGTTTATACACAATGTCTTTTTTTTTTAATACAAAGCCTACCAGTAGCATTTCAGTATAACTATCGCAAATACATTTCTGAAATTACTGACAAATATACGATATTATTATATATATATATATATGTATGGTAACGGCTATCGCCGCAGACATTGGTACCAATGAATCGTGTTCAACATCCGACCTAATGTGTTGTACTCAATCTCTGCTGTGATGTCCTTAGAAAAAGGCATACATACATTTTCTTCTCTCCCGGCTATAGGTTAACCAACAGGATAGATTGTCCTCACTAGCCTTGTGTAGCAGCCGGTCAAAAAGAAGGGCTACTCTGATTTAAAAACTATGGAGAAGGACTCTCTCGAAATATAGCATTTTACAAACGGAAT